TTAAGCCGCACTTCACTGAAACGGGAACAAACAATCTCAAGGCCAACAGTTAGGAGCAGTTGATCCCTTTTCCATTACCTGCTGTTAGAAAGGAAAATTGCTGCCAATAAAACAAATGGCAGAAAGTCAAAGGCTGATCAGTAACGAAAAAATAAATGGGAAACTAAGAACTGCTTCCTTTCTTGAGGACATGTTTGAAGTTTGGTCCATTAGCTAACTATGTGCAGTGGAGAAACCGCTTGGAGTGTGTTACAAATGTGATCCAAGCTTTGGGTTAATAATAGAAACCAAAAGTGACCGTATTTTGGCAACTTATTCAATATTGTCTATATTATTTGCAAAGGTTAACTGGCCAAATTGAAACAACACATGCCTTCAGACAACCCAGCCCCCCACTCTATTTACCGCACTTAACGCATGCCACAGTCACAAACCTCAGCATGCCAAGCTTTAGCTATAGCATCCCCCCTCACCTTCACCCTGCCCCACTCACTTCCCCCTTGTTAGCCATCACTAAGTGGATCCAGAACACTGACCAGTTACACTGATTACTTTCAGAGACCCCAAAGAGATCAACCTGTGGTCGAATTGTGAAATAATAACTGTTAAGCTTTGAGTCTTTAGGGCTGGTGACACATAAAGCAGCAAGAGAGACAACAGGCACAGAGATTTAGATTTTAACTGGAAGATTTCACAATGAAATATCTTTGTCTTGTTCAAGGTGCCAGCAGCTGTCATTTCCTGAAACTATGTCTTTCCCACAAACACACCATGGTCATCTCACTCCTCATGCACCACTTCCTAATTCCCCTTAGACTTAGCCACAGGCGATCTGCGGCCTTGAGTGTGTTTGAATGTGTGCGTGTACAGTACGTGCGTGTGTGTGTGTGTGTGTAGCAAAGAGTCCAAAGGGCTGAGGTCATCTGTGTAAACATATCACAGACACTACAGAGAAGTCAGTGAATGAGTCCAAGCACGCACACACACACACACACACACACACACACACACACACACACACACACACACACACACACACACACACACACACACACACACACACACACACACACACACACACACACACACACACACACACACACACACACACACACACACACACACACACACACACACACACACACACACACACACACACACACACACACACACACACACACACACACACACCGTTGGCGGTTGGCAGGCCGCATGGGCAACAGCTAATTAGAAAGCTGAAGCGCTCGCCGTTCATTGGCTGAGCTCAAAACCACACGCTGGGTTTTGGTGAACATACACAGATTTATAAAAAAGACATAAACATTATGCACAGACGTCTTTTCGGGGAAACCCTGACAAGGCTGTATTTCATCCGATGGCTGTAATTACATGTTAATAATACACCAATTACAGGTTTGGATTTAACAACATGACATCACAACTGTTCCCTAATCTGACCAATTAGTAACCATGGGAACCTGGACCACTGGCACAGCTGACAGGCCGGTAATCGTTATCAGACTGTGGGAATCTTCTTCAGTTTGTATGTGTGGTGGACAAATGAGCAAATGTACTCGTCAACTCTGAGATTTAACGCTGGCACATGTCGTACCCTTTGTGGTACTTTATGATTAATGCTGAAAGTCCTCCTATTATGTCGAAATAAACCAATCATTTAAACTTTGTTGGATGTCACTTACTCTCACAAACTCAAAAGAGAACCATCAAAGTCATATTGAATTGAGTTTAGTCAAGATAAACTGGGAAATAATTCAGAAGTACTGTAAATTGTGCCGCAGAGAAAAGATGGCACTCAGGATTCATTTCTCTCTTGCAACTTCAATTATTAATAAGGAAGGAAAAGTACATACAGAAAAAAAGTAGTTATAGGAAAGAAATCCCGATGAATGTTTTATATGAAACGCCTCTTTGTTTAAATAAAGGATCCAAAAATAACTCATAGTGAATTGTTTAAATCTCCCACAACAGTCTCACAGTTACTCCTAGTGATTGAGCAGAAAGGTATTTCCATCATAAAAAAAGGTGGTGATTCACGGCCATTAGTGCTATGCTTTATTCATGAGCCACACAGCACATTGACCTGTCTCTGCAGCAAATGGACATTATAATGACAGCTGTTTGCTACCTGCAGTCATTTTTCTGGTCAGGTTCATTAGACAAGAACTCAAACTATCGTAGTACAGATGACCCGTTAATTAAATCAGTGTGAGCTGCGTGTTCACACCGCTCAGATACAGAGAACCGCTCCTACACTTGGCTCGGATTTTAGCGGGAGATTCCAATTTGGCTCGAGCACCGCTTAAGTATTGATGAGGTCTCAGAGTATCAATAATTGATGAAATCATTAGCATGTCAGCTGCAGACCCGAGACAGTGTGAATGCACTATACACACACCTCTCCACAGGGGTTTAGTTATACTTACTCAGAAAATCAAGGCAGACAGTAAAAATAGTATAACAATTATTTGGAATGTTTTTGGAACTCCTACGATGAATTGATTAACAAATTAATTGTAAACTATGAAACTCATATTCAAGTTGTTTTGATGGTCGATAGATTAAATAAAGAGAAAAAATTGTTAAAATTATTTCATTCAAGTTTCTTAAATTCTTGATCATTTGTGGTTTATTTTTTCCTCTTTGACTTTCAAATGAATATCTATAAATCAACGACAAAGCGAAAATAATAACTGTTTTCAGCTCTAAAATATTGCTTGTCTTCACCCTTGTTGAATGCAATGACATTTAGTTTTTGCACTTATGTCCGGGGACACTTCAAACTCTTCTAATCTAGTGTTTTTGTTGTGCTGGAACTCTTTCTCTTCACCCACAGTCATAAGAGATTCCATAAAATCCTTCCCCTTCCTTTTGAGAAGCTCTATCCCGCTCCTGTATTTACACTGGGTATTTCGCTTACAGAGTGCCTCAGAGACTTGTTAGTACTAATAGTGTAATAGTAACCGTTCTCTATTGGAGTGCCTGGTAGGGCTTGAAAGCTATTAGTGCCCCTTATTGTCTTTGATAGTGTACACACGCAGAGCTGAGACAAGGCAGATGCTCGTGCAGAGGAAACAAACAGAGCTCAAATGATATAATCATATTCACATGTGACTTTACTTTCAACAAAAGCGTTTGGCAGTTCCAGTAGTCTGATAGTATTTCAGGAAAGATTACATAGAGAATTATTTGTAGCGTTACGACCGCTGTCATCAGAATATTCTGTAACGCTTGTTGTGTTTCCTGGCGTGGCGCAGCAAACCTAAACCGTGCACGATCACGTAGTTGATGATTTGAGTCGTGTTTTGCCAAATGATGCAAGAAGCAGAAACGCTTGATCCTCTCCGCTGAAGAACTTTCCACTCTCTTTAAGAGTCTGACTGGTTTAAGTACATGCAGCCTGGTATGGCTGCCGTGTTTCAACGTGGCCAAAATAGTTTCTCCATCTGCTGCCGCTTGTGTGTATGAGTGTGTGTGTGTGTGCGTGTGTGTTCCTGTGCGTCTTGAGTGTGTGTGGTATGCTGTGGTTGCTCACTGGCGCCAAATTTAGTCCCAGGCAGTGACTCCCGGTGTAACTGTTGCTCCGAAAGTCCTATCAGCACCAAGCCAAACACTTCAACAGATGATACAGAACACCGAAAAGCATTCTGGAGCACCTTAGGTCATTCTATCTTCGCAAGAACATACACCAAAAAAAACAACACAACAACTTTCCTCTAAGTTGGTTTCAGCTGCAAAAAAAGACATGGAAGAAGTTGAGAGCTGCCACAACAGACAAACTGCAGCAGCAGTGCAGGGCCGAAGTCAAGGAGCAAAGCACTTTACAATATGTGCAGCAAAAAATGTGTTGAGTGAGGAAAATGGATGTAGAGGGCGATGATGTCATGCTGTAGGACTCCCAACACACCAAGCTGACTCACTTTTATTCAACAACTAAAAACTCTGCAATGAGGAAATTGTGAAACAAAAACTACTATACAAAGTTTGTTACCTTGGTTAGCATTTAGCCTACGACCACAGATGCTAAGGCTAATTACAGCTAGTTAACTTAGTCAATTTGAAATGCAGAGAAACACACTGTATGCCAGGGTTATTATATTAAACTATGACAAAAGCGAAAAAAAGCAGTGAAACAATATTGTTACTAAACTAAAACTGAATAAAATGTTAAAACTGAACAAAATCAATATTGGCTGGTTGAAAAAAGTAATACAAAAAGAAATGGACATGTGGTTTACTTTACTTTACTTTATTTCTGTTTTTGCTTTTTAGCTATAGCAAATCGTTACCAAAACAAAAGGAGACGACACTTTTGAGACTATATATCCAGCTCAAACAAACATTAACTAAAATCCCCCAAAAACTACAACTGAATATTTAAAAAACAATTTTTTTTTAAAACCCCAGCTAAATAAAACAAGCAAACACATTCTGAAAACAAACTAAACCAAAATGAAATTCAATACTATTATCATATTGCAGCTTATTATATGATATAATGGCGGTGGAGATAGTAATCATTAAGCTTTTGTTTATGTTCATATATTTAGAGCTCAAAATGTTATACTTAGTTGGCTTCAGAATAAACACTACGCAACACCACCACCTCAGCCAGGGGGTCACCCTAATGTGTGGCATTCACTCTTCACGTCATAGGAATTCAATCAATAAAACCTGAACTCTAATAGTGGCAAAGACCCAAAAAGGTGTTTCCCGCCCTCGACATGTGTTTGAATTGACAAGAACGATATATGAATGGATAATGTGAACACGCAGAGAGCATGAGAAAGAATCAGAGAGAGGGGGAATTATGAAAGAGGCAGAGAGACTGAAAGTTAGGCGAGATATTGTGCTGCGACTGACAGGAAGAGATGAAGCCAAGGTGAGGCAGGGTGGACAGACAGACAGCAAAACAAACAGAACAGAAGGTCAGAGCAACATGAAGAAGAACAACAAAACAGTTTAAAACTTTTTAGACTTACCGCCAAGGCCTGCAGCCTCTCTTTGTGGAGCTGAGCCTCCTCACACGACATCCTGAGGGGGAAGCAAGGGGAGAGGGGGAGAAAGAGACGTGAGATCTGGGAGCTTTAGACTGAGTACCTCAGCGAGAGGTAGAGAGGGGAGGGAAGGAGTGGAGGAGGAGTATCCAGACAGGGTCCTTCCTCAGCAGTAATCCAAGTGGAGAGAGGAGACAGTGGGAGAAGCAGAGATCTCTCGTTCACTGTCCATGTGCCTCGCATTCCCTCTCTGACTCTATCACCCACTCTTTCTCTTGCGCTGCCTGTCTCTCCTCCCATTTGTCCCCTCCCTCTCTCCCTCTCTTTTTTTTTAGGCATGGGCCATGTGTGATTAAACAGCTGGGAGGAGCAGCTGAGAAGAGAGGGGGAGAGGGAAGGGGAGGAATGGAGAAGGGATGGCATGAAGGTGAGAGAGAAAGAGTGAGGAAGAGCATTGTAAGGAAAAGACTAGCAGAGGAGTCATTGGTCATGTTTAAAGGGGCTCGATTCTGCAGGTTCATATCTGTAAAGCCTCTACTGTGACATGTTTGCGTGCTTAAAATTAAAATAAACTCTCTCTGGAGGGAACTTTGGGATTTTAGCCTTTGCAGACCATTTACATGCACACAAACTTACACAAACACACTACAGGGAAGTGAGATAATCACAAACACAGATCACTCAGTTCTGTGTATATGCAATTTAGAAGGGATTTTTTTTGAGAGAGAAAAAAAAAAACCTTTCATTGGTCACTCTTTTATCAAATGAAATTGGTTTTAGTGGTATCTGCAAATGTTTCCAAAAAATGTTTAAGAAAGTAATACACACTAAAAATGTATTTAACATTGGCACTTCCTTTGGCTCACAACTGGAAATCTAATCACCAAATGTAGTCTAATTTCAGATAACAGCATGTGTTTTTGCACAGAATTAAAGGTGGGGTAGGTAAGTTTGAGAAACCGGCTCGAGATACACTTTTTGTTATATTCCATGGAATGCTCTTAACATCCCGATAGCAATGAATATCTTAAGTGCTTTGACAAAAATCCATTAAAAAATGTCATCTGTGGAAGCCGTAATACTGTAAAAAGTACGACCAATCATTTTAGCCGGCCCGGCTAAAATAACTGGATGGCCTACCTGCCTGTCAGCCTTCCATCTGTGCTCAAACTTATCTCGTGCCCTCATTGGTCATGTGCGCGTTCGTGTGTGTTGGAGGAGGGGCTCTGTAAGGAAGTGGCAGATTTTCTCCGGTCGTGTATTTTCAAATTCTAGCGGACTCGAGCTGGTTTCTCCAAAATTACCTACCCCACCTTTAAGCTCAAAAATAGCATTCCTACACCACCAATTGCCTTCGACAATACGAAAACATTTAAATGACAATTCCACACCTGGACAGAAACCTTGTTGTCACGTTTCAGGACAAAAATCCCTGGATGCCACTTCATAAAAATGCAACTTCTCCCAGGATCATAGCCTCGCTACAACATATGCTCTCCACTGTATACCTGAAGGGAAGGGGTCATGCAGTGCCAACGCTGCATATAGCATGTTACCATCATTTAAAAAGGTGTTATGATATAAATCCAATTATCTTCAATGACAACGCCTACACACAAACAATCCTACTGCTGACTCTTCACTTTCTATTTCTGGTCATACGTTTATTCCAGTCCCTTTCAATGCGACATCAATAGAAGCCTCCTAGTTTAGAAAAACAGAGAAAGGAGTAGGAGAGAAACGCAGATAACTGTGTCACTAGGAATTGATGCACGTGAACATCAATGAGACATGTTTCTAAATACAAACTGCAAAAACACCTCTTTCAAAAGCAAGACACACCTTCACACACACACACAGAAACAAAAGCAGAGTGTGTGTAAATGGGTCACTGTTAACTGTGTCCCAATTTTCTTTCTCACTTTTTAACATTCTAGGTTCATCTGGGTTTCATCCATTCCTCTTCTTTCACAACTTATTTATTTAGCTTATTTTCTCCTCTTGTTTACTCTCTATATCCTCCCTTTCTCCTTCTTTACACCCTTAACTATTTTCCTTTTCTTTTCCCCCTTTCCTTCACTGCATTGATGCGCTCTATTTTACACTCATCTCAACTTTCCTCCTTGAATCCTTTCCTCCATATATCACCATGCCTCCCATGGTGCATCTCTGCCCTCCATTTCTCCTTCCTAGTCTTCCTCTTCCTCTCTTTCCCGTACCTGTCCCGCTTTCCCTCTATCCATATCCCCCTCTTCCTCAATCCCTCTCCTCTTCCTCTTTTCTCCTTCCACAAGCACACATCCTTATAAGGAAAAAAAGCAGCAGCAGCAGTAGTCCTGGCCGACTCTTCAGGGAATACAGAAGCATGTAACGCGCGCGCGCGCACACACACACACACACACACACACACACACACACACACACACACACACACACACACACACACACACACACACACACACACACACACACACACACACCACACACACACACAACACACACACACACACCACACACACACACACACACACACACACACACACACACACACACACACACACACACACACACACCACACACACACACACTCCAAGAGAAGAAGAAAAATGTACAATAAATAATTGCAGCTGCAGAGTATCTGTCCCGTAAAGACACTGCGCAGCTGTGATTAAATCAAAAATAAGTTGTGTTTATGTCTCAGCTATAGCTTCCATCTGTTATGTTGTATCTAAAATAATGCTCAGAAACAAGAACGTGTTCACGAGTGGTGTCATTTTATTCTCTAAAGCTTGCCTTTCTGTGGGACAGTAAAAAATTACTTTCCTTACCCAGTATTTTGGATTTAGGTGTTTTTGTTTAGTTTTACAGAAGTGTTTACATAGCCTACTGTACAATATGTTGGAGTTTGAAAAAGTTCATAGTTAAGTAATTAAAGAGTAAACATTATATTGGTTTCAGGGGTTTTTCTAGAAAAATATAGTATGAGGGCACTGATCTTGTATATAAGATATATAAATTATTGCGAGAACATGACGTCCGTATACAATATGGCACCGTGGACGTAAACAACAACGAGACGTCGGAGCTATGTAAAAAAGCTGTCTATGTCGTCTGACGGTCTATTCGACACAATTTTCATATTTATGGTGTCATTATACCGTTTTTGACGAACAAAAATATGGTTTTCTGGCTTAATTTAGAAGTTACCAACCTGTCGGATCTGATTAGCATTTTATGTCAGGTTAAAGCTTTCTGTTCATGTTTGGAGACTTTTTACTAATATAGTACAGAGTTGTTCGTAACGTACAACATTGGTTGAGACCAAAACAGCTTTTTGTCTGCGTAAATTGGCAAATGTTTACTCATCCTTTGAACTTTATATGTTGATGTTATGTCAATGTTGTGTATATAGCTGCACTGCCCAGAAACAATCAACAGGAATTTGATTAGATTGCTAGTTTTGCTAAATGTATGAGGTGCTATAGTTGTTGCAGTGCTAATGTGTTCCCATAATCTTTAATTTATTCATCTTTAAGGTCAAATTTATAATCCACTGTTTTACCCTTTGTCAGATAATGCCAAAAGCATAAGCTTGAAATACTATAGGCTCACTGAGGCTCACCGTCAAGATAGGAAAAGAAAAATAATCACCCCGGGACCCGCCCTTATTAAAACACCCTGCTACAGCTGTAATGTGTGGACTACATGTTATAGAGCATGACCTGTTTGAGGTCTCAGTAACATATACTGTAGTTTAGGTTATGGAGGCAGGCTCAGCGCTGCAGCTGTCTGACTGCAGCCGCTCCAATACTTCTGGCCCGTCTCTATTTGATCTGGACTCACACCAATCACATCATGGAGTTGGCTGCATGCACACACTGTCATTGCTAAGAATACTTCCTAACATTTCTCCACTTCATTAGAAGTGTTTCTATTCCATTCCCATGACTTTTTAACTCTATCTCTGCCACCTTCCCCCCCCTTCAACCCCTTAACCCTGGCGTCAGTTATGTTGGTCTGTCGTCGATGGACACAACAGCATCATTGTTCCTCTGCATCGCCACGACGACGCGATGACCTCACTGCACAGCCAGCCCGGCCCGCCTCCCCCCCATCCCAGCCCAGAGGTAATGGCCTCCAGATGTGGAACCAGAGGCGCACACACACACACACACACACACACACACACACACACACACACACACACACACACACACACACACACACACACACACACACACACACACACACACACACACACACACACACACACACACACACACACACACACACACACACACACACACACACACACACACACACACACACACACACACACACACACACACACACACACACACACACACACACACACGAGTTAGTTGGAAGTAATGAGCAAATACGGACAAAGAAAGTAAGTCTGAATAAAATGTACATGTGAATTTGAGCATTGGTGTGTGTGTGTGTGTGTGTTTGTGTTAGTGTGTGTGTGTTTGTTATGTTAATGCAGCCATTTATTTTGCCTGCCTTTCCTGGGCTTAGCGCTCCCACATTGTAATTCTCCCCAAAATAGCTGAAACACACAGATCTGGTACAGACCGGCCTCTGTTGCAAATACATATTGTGTGTGTGTGTGTGAGAGAGAGAGAGAGAGAGAGAGAGAGAGAGAGAGAGAGAGAGAGAGAGAGAGAGAGAGAGAGAGAGAGAGAGACGAGAGGGAGAAGAGCAAGAGAGAGACGAGAGACGGAGAGAGAGAGAGAGAGAGAGAGAGACCCAAAAAGTCATATTTCTGGCTGTGTGGAGTGCCAGACCCTGATCTCATTCATATTTTATAGATCACTGAGGGAGGTCAAGCTGTGTTTGGGTGTGTGTCTGTCTGCCTGTCTGCACATACAGTTTAACCAAAAATTCAGCATTGCCATGACGTCTTTATTACTGCTGAGTACGTTTATTTTTCCGCTTCGTAATTGGCCTTACATTTTACAAAAGCAATTGCTGAGGGGAGCATGGCTGAACTTCTAAAAGTCAACACTGTCTTTCAGCAAATAATCAGATAAAACTCCACATGTTTTTCCGAGCTGATGTAACACAGGAATCCAGTCTCCTGCAGCCACGCAAAGCCAAGCGTATTTTACTGTTTAGTCTACAGGAAGTGAGTCAAAAAGTCAAAGTAAAAAAAAAGTGAATTATCCATAAAATAATAAAAAAACATAAACTATCTGAAGTCGGACACATGACTAGAAGCAAGCAGAATCTCCATTCATAGTTGATAATATAATCACTCATTTACACAGTCCCTCACAGTATAAAAGGTAATAGATAGCATATTAATTAGTATCAGCCAGTCAGATCAGCACATTTCTTTTTATTGATCTCACTCTTAATTATTCACTGAGGGATGATTTCATAATAATAGTGATAATGTACGTTCATGTCTACGCTGTGCATACGAATACATGCATATATAAGACTTTTTAGAAATGATGTCAAGCTTTTTTAAAATCGATTTCTTCCTGAGATGCATTTTTATATAAGAATCAGATGACGTAGTCCCCAGACACTCAGATTATCACCACCGCAGCATGTTCCCTCTCTGAATACCATTATTTTCCCTCTCCTCTATGGTTTGCGCATCTCCTCTTATACAGTGTTAAAAATTCATGTTCTGGTATTTTCCTTCTTATGGAGTGGAGATCCAAAAATCATATATATTATGTAAAAACGTCATTAGTTATTTCAGTAAAAGCCTCAAGAACCACTTTGTTTTGCATGGATGTTGCCAGATACATTTACTGTGCTTTAAATGTAGGGCTACAAATAACAATAATTTAATTACAAATCCATCTTTTTTTTTTATTTTACATTAAAACTATTAACCCTATTTAATGTCCAAAGAAATGATTGTTCGGCAGGCAAAGACACATTTTTGAATGTATTTTATTATTACTTTGTTTGTTAAAAAATGTTAGGCTGATAAACGACTTATCAATAAAACACCAAAAAAACACCAGAAAATGTATGATAACTGAAAACTTAGAAATGTGGTGGCAAGTTCAAAGCACCACCCTGCATATGCTCAATCCATGCCATCACTAGAGAGTGTTTTTCCCGTAAGACTTCCCTGAGTGTGCAATAAATAGCAGCAGAGAATGGGCCATCTGCCATTGTGGTGTCTGCGCTCTGCATGACCACAACTACAACCTCCTCTTTCCGCTGATTCAGTGACCATCCCAGAGAGAGCGCGGTGTAAAGGCTGATTGAAAATAAGCCCAGAGGACAACAAGACACAGTTAAGGGAGAATGGATGAGATGGACTGACTGAATCACCACGACAGCACTGTCTCATTCTCCCAATTATAACATTAACTATTGATGGTCCAGCTAAGCATGTCTGCTCCATGCTCCACTGCACAGCATCGTGGGTGCGGCTCTGAAAGAGGATGCAAGATTCCCTCTGAGCTGTCACTCAAACTGCCTGTTCGACAGCTGATCACGACACTAAGCTGGTGGGAGAGCCGCAAAATAACAAGGCAGTTATCACTCAAACCAGAAAGCCTCTCAGCATCCTCTAATCTGCAACATCTATGGGGTTTGAGCTTTATAGCCATATATGCACCGTCTCTATGATTGTCACCCTGTATAAGGATAGAAACTGCACAAGCTGTATTATTCATGATATACAGTACATATGCATGCACCATATGGTGGGGTTTTTCTCTGGACGTTTTTCCTTGTACGATGTGAGGGTCTAAGGACAGAGGGTGTCGTATTGTCATACTGATATTCTGTACAAACTGTGAAGTCCACTGAGACAAATGTAACATTTGTGATATTGGGCTATATAAATAAACATTGATTGACCATATGTGCAAAAATAAGAGTTGCACAAGACCCAAAAAGAGACAGTTAAGTAGTGAAGCTAGCTTATTGCATTGTCAATTTAGTCTGGTTTAACAGCACAAACCTTACCTGTACTACAACTGTATAACACTTGTCCCTCTGGAAAATAAACCAACACCAGCAACTCCACAACCTCAAGTTGTTGTATAGGAGCCATATGAATTTCTACACTCACAGAACATAACACCCACAAAGCTTTATGTGTTTGGAACAACTTACTCCCACTCTGCTGCTCTGTATCCATATTTTGTATCACAGTCACTACTCATCCCCAAACCAATTCATATACTGTAGCAGCTCATTAAAACAGGTGCAGTTTAAAAAAAATAAGAATACCTTTTCTCTTTCATCTCATGGAGACAAATTAAGCTGTTTCCCAACGCTTTGTACCATTTTGTATGGCATAAAGTATTAGTGCTATACTTTGGACTTGAGTTAGGTTCTACTACATATATTAGTAAGTATTTGAAGCTTTCTTACCAGTTAAAGTTTTAAATACAGTTGAATTCTGAGTTTTAAAATCGAGAAGTCTCACCTTTGTGTAGCATTTCTTCACAGGGAGTTTCAGCCATGTTGTTTGAGCAACTAATGCAGCTTCCATCAACCATTTGTGATAGTGACACCTGTCTGGTCTTCATTGCATGTATTGGTCAATTGACAAATTACTTCCAGTCCATTTATTTGTTAAAGACCTTTATCAACCACTCATTTCCACTCCATAAGTTTATTTCCTCAGTGCTAACACGAAGCAGCAGAAAACTCTAAATTAAACCAAACTGAAGTGTTTTATGACTAGCTATCTCCAGCAGCAACACAGTACATGTGCAGATCTACTAGCTAGCTTAGCAAAGTTTTGGCTAAAAACAACCCATAATGCAACTCTCTCTTAAAGGTAAAGGTTCATTATAAAACACCTAGTTAGCTAGCTTTCAGGTTTAAAAAACAACAACAACGTAGAGGTATTGTCTTAGAATATATATATAAAAAAGACAAACTCATTAACATAAATATTACTTTTTAGTGTTAGGGCCAATATTGGTGTAACATGTAATTGCAGTACACCATTACTCTTGGGGTACACTGAAGGTCACAAACTGGTGCAATATACCATTTTGTTACATTATATTTTTTCTTCTCTGCCTTTTGATTTCATAAAGATGTGAAAACTCTTGTGTCTGGAAATGCAGCTGAAGGTTCAGCAAATCTGCTGATATAGTACTTGTGGGACACACCATCAAAAACTTGACAGTCAGCCTCTGAACAGCAACATTTTTCAATCCAAAATTCAACCTACATGATCCATGAGACATTGTCTTTGCTTGATACTGTATATGTCTTTCTGTGTTTTTGAGTATGAATCATGAATCTTAAATCAAGTTTTAAGTCTTATTTTAGGTTGCTTTTCTTGCTGAAATGACCAACAAATAAAAGGTGCAGTTAATTTCACTACCTTTTTGTCTTAATGTGGGCATTTCTTTTCTTATAGGTTTAATTTCTGGACACACACATGCCTAGAAAAACGGATACAGACACAGGAAGAAATGCTCTGCAGCATGGCGGACAGTGCTAAAACACAGAAGCCGGCCCAAGCCTGCAGCTTCCACATTGACTATGCTAACACATGCCCCACTGCACACTTGCACACACACGCACACTTGCACATTCACGCATCCTGTATCTATACCATGGTGTTCAGAACAGGGACAGTGGGATTTTGAGGGAAATGAAGAAGAAGGAGTCCAGGACTGTATTGTAAAAATAATTATTAGTAGAAGATAAGACAATGGAAGAAAGAGGAAAAACGAGAAAGAGAATAAACCCATGAATGGCAGATGTGTGGTGAGGTGAGAGGTTTGAAGAGGGAGTGTGAGAGTGTGTGAAGCAAGAAGAGAGGATATGAGAGGGAGGAGTGTACACGGTGTACAGCGGGTCTCCTCGCCAGTCATGACTGAGCAGCAGCCTCACCATGACCGAGCTCCCGTTCCCATGACAACCCAGCCTGTCAGATGGAGAGGAGAAGAGGACGGAGGGATGCAGAGATGGAGGCAAAGAAAAGATAGGAAGAGCAAGATGAAGAACATGTACTCACGGCGCTGTTGCTGTGCCGTTCCTCTGCAGAGGTGTGTCTGACATGGCTGCAGCACCCTCTGCTCTCCTTCCCTTCTTCTTCCTCGTCCTCCTCGCCTTCTCCTGTCCTCCTCTGTTCTTTTTTTTGACAGTTGTGTCCACCTCTTTGCTATCTCTTCCACTTCTCCTCCTCCTCCTCCCTCCCCTCCGCCTTATCTTCTCCTCCTCCTTCTTTCCTCCTGCCTTTTCGGTGTGTTTGTCACGTCACTGTGAGGGAGCAGCTGCTTCTGCTGCTCCTGCATCGCCCTGCTCTGCAAGCAGGAGGGGATGGGTGTGAGAGAGAGAGAGAGAGAGAGAGAGAGAGAAGAGGGGAGAGAGGAAGAGAGAAAAAGAGGAGAGAGAGAGAGAGAGAGAGAGAGAGAGAGAGAGAGAGAGAGAGAGAGAGAGAGAGAGAGAAGGAGAGAAGGAGTGGTTTCAGTGTATGTGTGTGTTTAAATGTGCAGGTGATGATGCCACTGGGAAAGGGAGAGATTTGTAGGTGAGGAGAATGAGGTAATAAGATGCTGTGACTCAGAGTGAGTGTGACTGAGATGAGGGAGAAGGAGTATGAGAGAGCTAAGGATGGAAGAGAGAAGGAGAGCCTTAGGGGAGTTACAGGATAAAGAAAGGAGTGGCCAACCTCATCCCTGCTGCTGCCATGAGAACCTTTCCCCTTTGAGACTGCTGAGGGATTCATTTAAAGAGGTAGATACTAAAGAAATCCTCCATTGTAAGGCTTGTGTCCTGCAACCTTAAAGGGTTCACAGAAAATGGAGGTAAGCACATGTGGACACATGGCGAGGGCAGGGGAGGGCGACCCCCCTTGGATGGCCCTGTGACGATAAAACATGACAAGGTGCCCTATAGGTTGCACCTCCTGTTAAGAAAATGTGATTGATTGCCCAGTAATGTGCCCTTAGGAAACATGGAGAAGTGCCCTCTAGGGTAAGGCAAGGCAAGGCAAGGCAAGTTTATTTATATAGCACCTTTCAACACAAGGTAATTCAAAGTGCTTTACAAAAATGGAAGACATTTTAAAAATGGCATTTAAAATCAGTCATTAAAAAGGAAAGATAATAAAATAAACATTAAAAGAAAAAATACATGGATAAAAGTTAAAAGTTACAGTGCAGTTTAAGATGTGAATAGTTCAATTAAAAGCAGCGGCAAAAAGAAAAGTCTTCAGCCTGGATTTAAAAGTAGTAAGAGTTGCAGCGGACCTGCAGGTTTCTGGGAGTTTGTTCCAGATATTTGGAGCATAATAACTGAATGCTGCTTTACCATGTTTAGTTCTGACTCTGGGGACAGAAAGCTGACCAGTCCCTGAAGACCTGAGGGTTCTGGATGGTTCATAATTTAGCAGTAGGTCAGACATGTATTTTGGGCCTAAACCATTCAAAGCTTTATAAACCAGCAACAATATTTTGAAATCTATTCTTTGACACACAGGAAGCCAGTGTAAGGACTTCAGAACAGGAGTGATGTGATCCACTTTCTTAGTGTTAGTGAGGACTCGAGCAACGGCGTTCTGAATTAGCTGCAGCTTTCTAATAGATTTTTTAGTGAGGCCTGTAAAGACACCATTACAGTAGTCGAGTCTACTGAAGATAAAAGCATGGACAAGTTTTTCCAAATCCTGCTGTGACATTAGTCCTTTAATCCTAGATATGTTCTTTAGGTGATAGTAGGCTGATTTAGTAACTGTTTTAATGTGACTGTTGAAACTCAGGTCAGAGTCCATGACTACACCTAGATTTCTGGCTTTATCTGTTGTTTTGAACATTGCAGACTGAAGCTCAGCGCTAACTTTTATACGTTCTGCCTTGGCTCCAAAAACCATTACCGCAGTTTTATCTTTGTTTAATTGGAGAAAGTTCTGACACATCCAGTCATTGATTTGTTCAATGCACTTACTCAGTGTTTGAATTGGAGCATAATCTCCTGGTGAAATTGTTACGTAAATTTGTGTGTCATCCGCATAGCTATGGTAACTTATTTTGTTGTTTTTCATTATCTGAGCCAGTGGTAGCATGTAGATGTTAAAGAGAAGAGGCCCCAAGATGGAGCCTTGAGGTACCCCACATGTCATATTTGTCAACTCAGATGTGTATTTACCTATAGAAACAAAGTTTTTTCTGTCCTTTAAGTAGGACTCAAACCAATTTAGAACTGTTGCCGAAAGTCCCACCCAGTTTTCTAGTCGGTCTAGTAATATGTTGTGGTCAACAGTGTCAAATGCAGCACTGAGATCTAATAATACTAACACTGAAGGGTACATGAGAAAACATGAAAATGTTCACTCCTGGGTGCTTATTCAGGAGAGAAAACTTAATAAAGTGACCATCCATTGGAGAAAAGATAAGTTAGTGCGCTCTTGTTGCTCTTCTAGTGGAGAAAACGTGATCAAGTGCCTTCTAAGATGCACCTTCAGTAGACAAAATAAATCAAATGCCCTTAAAGGTGGGGTAGGTAATTTAGGAGAAACCGGCTCGAGATCGCTGGAATTTGAAAATACACAACCGGAAAAAATCTGCCACTTCCTTACAGAGCCCCTCCTCCAACACACACGAACGTGACCAATGAGGGCACGAGATAAGTTTGTGCACAGATGGAAGGCTGACAGGCAGGTAGGCCATCCAGTTATTTTAGCCGGGCCGGCTAAAATGATTGGTCGTGCTTTTCACAGTACTACGGCTTCCACAGATGACATTTCTTTATGGATTTTTTGTCAAAGCACTTAAGATATTCATTGCTATCGGGATGTTAAGAGCATTCCATGGAATATAACAAAAAGTGTATCTCGAGCCGGTTTCTCAAACTTACCTACCCCACCTTTAAGAGTGCCCTCCCAGTGGAGAGAATAACATAAAGTGCCCTCTTGGTGCCCTCCTAGTGGAGAAAACAGGATCAAGTAGCCTCTTGGTGCACTTGTAATGGAGAAAACGGGAACAAGTGCCCTCTGGGGATGTGTTTTAGTGCTCCCTACGGTTAAAAAAAACGTGATATGGTACCCCCCAGATTACCCTTGCAGTGGAGAAAATGTTATGCAATGCACCAATGGATATCCTTATAAATCAAACAAACATAACAAAGTATATACGGTGGGATGCCCTGCATACTATAACATTTTCTGTGCACTGTTGCTTTTCTATGTTATTTATCCCTGCCACTCAGAGAGCCTGAGTCAATCTCTATGTATGTCTGGAAGGACTGGACTGAATCATGCTTAGCGGGATTTATCAGCTATGAAAGACTCCTCACAGTCAGCACACTGATACATGGTTTTTTGAAACAATTGGAGACAACCATAACAAAACAAAAATGCAAGTATTCACAATCCTGATTTGACCATGACAACTGATTTTTTTTAACATTGTTGAGAGTCTGCACTTGTCTGTGAGAACTGGGGCACGTCACCAGGGACAGACATTATCTAACGGATGCCTGCACTCTAGGAATCAAATCCTCCTCGTCCAGATCCAGATGAGTTGGAGCTGTCATGTTAATGTCAAACAAGCCCGATTTCCACAGCTGGATTCAATGAAAGCTCCCATATGAGAGATTACATTTAAATATAACAAGTGCTGCATTTCCTCAATTATATTTATTTTGCAGACTACTGTGAACTATCCAAAATCTTGATATCAGTGACCAAACATATTCTGTAATATGAAGCACAAAGACAGAGAGGAACAGTTGTCACATGTTGAATCCAAACAACACAGATAATATACACTGCAGTAGAGAGTCGGATGAGGACGCTTGCCAATAACAGAATTTAAAACAAAAAAAGTTCCAAAGCTCAAACAGACAAGCATCCAGTTGCTTCTGTTAGTGCGCTATAGTGAGAACAGTTTAGTCTGGAGGGGCTCGCCTCAGTAATTTATCCAAACAAGACGCTCAGCAGACTTTTTATTGGATCTATAACCTGCTGGCTGAGTACTTAGCAGCAGAGACTGCAGGGGAGAGTCTAAGCTAGGGCTCATCTTCAGTCCATCGCTCTGCGCCTCCTCCTTTCTCCTATTCCTCCCCCAAATATTTAAGGAACTTACATTCCTTCATGCTTCTTTATCTCAGCTTTATTTTGTAGCTCCCTCCATCAATTTGTTTACTTCTCTTCCTCTTTTCTCACTTTCTCTATTCCTTCCTTTTCTCAGCAGAGGTCTTTTTGTCGTACACTTTTGAGCTCATTTTCTTTATATGTACTTGAAGGTTATTATGAACACCCTTGGAATTAGGTGCAAGTGTGCAAACATTATTGCCTATAACAAATTGAATTCAGTGAATGTACCGGCAGTAGAGCAGACAACATGTTTTTCCCAGGCTCAAAGGAGAAAGTGAAGGTCACAGCTCTTCAAGTGCAGAGACATCTGACATTCCTGGCTGTCAAACATTTAGAAGTTTACACTTGTAGGGGCTGCTTCTTTCTGGACGTATCTGCCTCCTATCTGCTTCCCTCTCTCTTTCCACTCCTGACAGTCCAGCCGTGGTTATCACACTGTGAGGTATGCTAGTAATGCAGAGGCTGCTCTTCAGGTTTAGGTAGCGACCTTAAAAGGGCATCAAACATGCACCCGCTACCCTTTACACTCTCACACATAGCAAACACCCCCAACACACAGTACTATGGGTAAGATTCTAATAACTTATACGTTTAGTGCATCTTCATCCTCCCTGTGTCCCTGTATCAGTGTCCGGACATTAATAATGAACCCATCCAAATATTAACATTATTATCCAAACATTAATATTAATCCATTCGAATATCAGTATCTGAATACCAGTATATCCAAATATTAGTATCAGCATATAAGTATTATTCAACCCATCCAAATATTAGGACAAGCATCCAAATATTAGTATAACAATCCAAGTATTAGTACTAAACCCATCAATATTACGATATTATTACAAATAATATTATTCAAGCCATCTGAATGTTAGGATTAGTATGCAAATACTAGTATTAACATACAAATATTAGTATTTATATCCAAATATGAGTTTTCAACCAATCCAATATTTGTATCAGTATCAGGTTATTAGTATATAACCTTTTCGGAAATTAGTATTTGTATGCGGTTATTCGTATTTGTATGCCATTATATTATTTTAATATTAACATCTGAATATAAGTATTAATAATACAAATATAAGTATCAAAATATTTGTATTAAAATATGATTATTAATTTACAAATATTAG